TTGTTGAAGAGAATAGACACCATTGAGACATGGTCAAACTTTTAGAAACAATGGGACTATATGGATTAGAAAATGACACAGTAGACATGCTATCAGAATAAATTCCCCCACAACTAGATTCCAATTTTAGTTCGATTTGGCAACACTGGGTCTTTTTGTTCCTGAATGAGTAAGGAGTTTATCATGAAATGAGACGTGTTAAGGTGGTAACCCTATGGTCAATTGGCCATTGCATAGGTATGTTGGAGGATAGAAGGTCTTATTTTTATCTCATCTATCATATTATGCCAATTCCTTAATGTTTTAACAAAAGGGGTTTAGACGGAAGATGGATTAACAACATTATTTTTGTACTATATAATTATAGTATTAAGTATAAATGTATTTTTTGCACTCAAACCAGAAATGTGTTTGTTTATTCTACATAGAGTCCTTGATTGAACTGTGAAATAAGTACAGTATATAATGAACTATCTATAGAAAAGTAAAAAATGTAGACCTACACCAATATACAATAGTGTGTAAGTCAAAAAGGGTACTTATCGTTAATTGATATATATCAGCTTCCTCTCAGGATATTCCAGACTGTATCCCATACATACAGTATCACCAGATGGAAAATAGAGGGTTTAGCTGACTATCTACAGAAAAAAAAGAAAAATATAATAGTGTAATACAGCAAGAATATAGTAATTGTGCGCCAGATTAAATTGCACTCACAAGATGGAGATAGGTATATCGCCTTAAGGTGCCTCCCCTTAGATGGCCGAGGGGTATATCCACGACTCCCTCTCCACTTTTGATGTCGCCACCATAAGATGGAAGGTTGGACTCAGGAAATTGGATAAAATATAATCTGCTTTATTGTAGTGTAAAAATAAAATAGAATCCAAGCTAGGTCCTATAAGTTTCGTCTTGGAAAAGATTTCCTCAGGGACCCAATTATAAAAACAAAATACAAATATAAAAACAACCCATAAATAAAGACAAAAGCAGCATATAACCCTGCCCCTTGAGTCACTCTTTATATATGGCCATCCTTCCTTCTAATTGGCAATGTTCAATTCTACATGTGCTTAATACCATACAGAGAGGAGTCTATATTTCTCCCTTTTCCACCATTTTACTACAGGCTGTGATATAGTACAAGATTTTCAATGTCTATATGCATATATTGTTTCCAGGCTTGTGGGAAGTCAGTATATCTTTGGGTATGGAGAGAACTGAGATTATACAAAAAGGAAAGTCTGAGTAGGACCAAATGTATATGGTAGAGGATAAAGCTTACAAAACAAATTTTTCACAATAATATTTATAGAATATCCACTCAGTGGAAATAATTTTTACATACATTTTTTGTATTATATTAGTTTTGTCCCAATACAAAAGATGTTCTGCTGAACACATGCCTTGGTGAAATCTCTTCCGGTAAGATTTAAATGTCCTTTACAATTATATGTAGTTAAGTTCTAACTTCTGTTCCTTTTTTAGCCTTGCAGGCACCCATATTATTACTGTTTTAAGAAGGATATTTACATTCCACATATTAGAGCACCACTTGCGAACCGCAAGTGGAACGCATGATGGCCGCTAATTGTAAAGCACAAGTCATCAAGACGCGACTTCCAGAAGTGGCATGCCGGAAGTGACATCACATGGTGAACATTCACCTAGGAAAGATCAGCTGGACTTCTTGGATCAGCTGGACATCGTAGGAAACACCCACTGGACTACCAATGAGAAGGAAGGATGGCCATACATAAAGAGTGACTCAGGGGGAGGGTTATATGCTACTTTTGTCCTTATTAATGGATTGTTTTTATATTTTGTTTTTGTTATTGGGCCCCTGAGGAACACTTTTTTAAGACAAAACGCGTATGACCTAGCTTACATTCTATTTTTATATTACAATAAAGCAGATTACATTTTATCTAATTTCCTGAGTCCAACCTTCCATCTTATGGTGACAACATC